ACAACAGTGTCAAGGCAGAAGTAATTAAGTTCATGATCCAGTGGTGAAATCCATTTTTTTTTACTATTGGTTCTGTGGGCATGGCAGGGAAAGGATACTGCAAAATCTCCATTTCCACCCCACTCCAGGGAAAGGTTATTGCAAAATCCCTATTCCTTCCCCATTCCTGGGGAAGGATATTGCAAAATCTCCATTCCCACCCCAATCTGGGACCAGCCAGAGGTGGTATTTGCCAGTTCTCTGAACTACTCAAAATTTCCACTACCGGTTCTCTGAACTGCTCAAAATTTCCGCTACCGGTTCTCTGAACTACTCAAAATTTCCGCTACCGGTTCTCTGAACTGCTCAAAATTTCCGCTACCAGTTCTCCAGAACCTGTCAGAACCTGCTTGATTTCATCCCTGCCATGATCCCAACCTCCCAATTAGCAGCTAAGGTCATCACATGCTCTCAAAGAATGACCCCTCCACCTTAGACAATGCCACCACCACAAATTTCAAAAAAGCCTTAGAAACAGATGAGTGGTTTAGTAATACTTGCATAATAAAAGAGGGGTTAACTTGGGTGGGAAATAAGCTGTATGTCCCAGCTAGGGAAAGGCTGAGAACTATGCAAGCTTGTCACAACTCCAGATTAGCTGGTCACTTTGGTTTTGTAAAAATATTACATTTACTGAAACGGCAGTTCTGGTGGCCTTCATTTAAAAATGACATAGAAAGTTATATAGCAAGCTGTCCCATTTGCACTGTCGCTAAATGCAGGCAGGGCAAAAACCCTGGTCTACTGCATCCAGTGACTGACTCTTCAGCACCATTGAGAAAGATCTCAATGGATTTAATTGTTGAACTGCCCAAGAGTTCTGGAAACACAGTGATCTGGGTTCTCACAGATCTTTTCTCAAAACAGGTTCATTTCATCCCATGCCAAAAGATCCCTATGGCTAAAGCCTTGGCTAAACTGTTTTGGTCCATATTTACTGCTTGCATGGGGTCCCACGAAGTATTATTTCAAACAGAGGGTCCAATTCACATCCAAGTTCTGGACAGCTTTTTTGAATCTACTTGGGACCAAGCAGGGACTTAGTTCTAGTTATCATCTGCAGACAAATGGGGCCACGTAACAAATGAACTCAGTTCTGGAACTGTACCTACGCTGTTTTATTAATTATCAGCAGGACAACTGGATCGAACTAGTGCCTTTGGCAGAAGTAGCTTATAATAATGCAGTTCACGCTAGCACAGGTTTTACCCCTTTCAGAGTGGCCAGAGGGCAAGAATTTAATGCTATGCCTGAGTTACCCTCACATGAACCAGATGAACCATGAAACATACCATAGTAGTAATGGGAGTCTTTAACTACTCAGATATCAACTGGGAGACATATTCTGCATTAAATGGGAGATTGAACAGATTCCTAACCAACCTAGCTAACAACTTTGTCATCCAAAAGTAGAGGAGGGAACTAGAGGAAAAGCTACACTGAACCTAATTGTTACTAATAGAGAAGTGATAGACGGAGCTGAAGTTGCCCTCACCTTTGGGCAAGAGTCACTATGTCATATTGGAATTCAATATGATGCAAACATAAGCAATAGAACATAATCCAGCCAGTGTCTTAAACTTTAAAGGAGCTGATTTTAACAAACTCAGAGACAGCCTAGGAAATTTTCAATAGAATGAAAATCCTAAAAGGAAAAACAACTATAGAAACATGAGAAACTCTGAAAAAGAGGATCATAAAAGCCCAATGTAGCACAATACCACTGAAAAAGAAAAACAAGAAATCCAAGAAGAAACCAGCATGGTTTCTCTGATAAATATCTCTCTGATAAACTAAAAGATAAAAAGGATAAGTACAAAAGAATGGAAAGAGGGACAGATAACTAAGGCAGAATATCAGCAGATAGCCATAACTTGCAAAGATGAAGTCAGGAAATCAAAGGCTCAGAATGAACAAGGACCTGCAACAAAAGTCAAAGATAATTTTTAAAAACGTTTCTTTCAACATATAAATAACAATAAAAGTCAAGGAAACAGTTGATCCATTAAAGAGAGACGTTGGCAAGGAAGTAACAGGCTGAAAAACAGAGCTGCTTAATTCATTCTTTGCATCAGTCTTCACACAAAAAGAAACTATAGCCCAATGTACCAAAAACATAACCATAAGATTAGAAATTAAAATTAAAATAAGCAAGAAAACAGTAAGAGAACACCTGATCTTGACAAATCTTTCAAATATTTAAAAAATCCTGGAGCACTGGGGAACTATCTGAGGACTGGAAAAGAGCTGATGTGAATCCCATCTTCAAAAAAGGGGGGAAAACAGACCTAGAAAATTACAGACCAATCAAACTGACATCAATACCTGAAAGATACTGGAAAAGATAATCAAAATACAGATCTGCAAACATCTAGAATCAAATAAAGTTATAACTAAAAGCCAGCACAGGTTTGTTAAAAACAGATCATGCCAAATCTTATTTCATTTTTTGACAACGTGACTAAATTAGTAGATCAGAGAAATGCTGTTGACATAGTTTACTTAGACTTCAGTAAGGCATTCAACAAAGTAGACCACAACGTACAATTGATCGCAGTGCTGCTGCCCGAAAAGGCTTTCCTCCATGGTTCTCCGGTGCACATTGCACATTCCTCCTCCTTCTCCACATAAGGCCAGATCCTGGCCAGATCCGCCACCTGAAACGCAGTGCACTTTTTTTGATTTGGGGAGGGGATCTCAGCGCTGCCGCCCGAAAACCCTTTCCTCTCCAAATCCAAAAATGGGGCATGCGGAGGCCAAAAAAGTGCATTGCATTTCAGGCCTCGGGGGGGGAGGGATTGAAGCCTGCTGCCGGCTGCTCCTGTCACTGACAGGGAAGCGTGAGAAGCGCTGGCAGCGGGGGCGATGGGTGGCAGCAGAAAGTATAGGTGTGCTGGGGCTTCAATCCCCTCCCCAGGCCTTGGGCCACACTAGAAGCCTGCTTGTGCAGAGAGACAAGGAAGCCCCAGCTTGCCCATCCTTGCCGCTGCCACCCCTCTGCCCCTGGGGTGGCAGTTCTCACGTTGCTGCTTCCCTGGCAGCGGCAGAAGCAGCTAGCAGGGCAGAGAGGGCAGCGGCGGCAGGCCGTTTGCGCTGGCTAAGAGTCAGCAGGTGTTCCTCCTCCTGCCAGCCTCGCACTCCAGCCATACCTGGTCTCCCCCTGTGGCAGCCCACGTGGATCCCAAGCAGTGCAGCTTTGGGGCCTTTCCTCGCAGCGGCAGTGGTGGTGACGAGGCAAGCAGGCGGACGGGTGCAGGGGAATGACTGGCAGCAGCGCTCCTGTCTGGCAATGGGTGGATGTCCCGGAGCTGTATGCGGGTGATGACAACATGGCTGGTGCACACCCGTGTTAAGAGCGCGCCTTCAGCTGGCTGGTTCCACACACATGAAGGCCAGCTGATCATCGCATGCCCATGTGCACCAGAAACCAGCAGACTAGCTGACTGGTGCGCATGCATGACCCGGAAACCCGGAAGAGGAATGGGCGACACCGCGCATGCCAGGCATCATGGCTGTGTGCCACTTCCGACATGCGTGCCATAGGTTCACCATCACGGGTATAGGATTTCCTGCTCCTCCCCTGTCCTGCAGGGTGTTGAACTAGAAGACGTCCAAGGTCTCTTCCAGCTATTCTGATTGATTCAAAACAATGCCTTATCCACTGTTTGATAAAAAAAGGATTAAAGCCAGTTGCACTAAATATGCTTAGATCGAGATGCTATAAATTTCCTGCAATTTAAATCTTTAAATCTTCAATGAAAATTCACAAATATCAATCAAAATGTTTAAAGCACATTATGGAGAACCATTCTTATTTTCTCTATACACCACATAACCAGGCTTAGCCTTTTTAAATTATTTTAGCTGGAAAAAATAGATATGAAGATGCCATGGTAGATAATTTGTTTGGCAAGTTAACATAACAAAAGCTAAGCCACCATATGTTGGAAAGCTTCACTGATGGTATAATGGAAACATTAACAAAATATGATATCTCTCTGAATGTGTGGGTTAACCATTCTATAACCTGAAAAATTATTTTGAATCCAACTACATTGGTGTTGAATCCTAAGTGGTGTGTGTGCGTGTCTTCCAGTTTTACAGTTCTGAGAATTAAATATACAAATGTACATTCTCTACTGAATGGGTATTGCTTATAGGAATATCATTAATATGATAAGATATTTTATTATATCTTCACAAAGGCATAAATTATTCTTAATTATCTATGTTGGTCTCATTAAATTGCATGAAGAGACAACCACAATGGTATTTTTTAGTTTGATGGAAGGGAAATTCCATAATTATGGAAACATTTATTGTCAGCTAAGCTAGTAGCAAGGAAACATGCATGTAGTTATGAATATGCTAATTTTCACATTGCAAACACTTTAAATATATATAGAGTAACACAAACCCAGCATTTACTATAACTGGAATTCTGACATTTATTACTGAAAAAAATGCCTTGTTGATAAGCATGTCTCATTAGTTTAAAATTCTTTAGCTGAACTGTCTTTGAAAGGAATTTATTATCCTTAAAAATAATTCAAATATATTGCAACCCAGTAAGTAAGTATTAGCAAACTTAACCATGAGGTTTAGATCTCAATCTTCTTCTTCATATATACATATACATATACATATACATATACATATACATATACATATACATATACATATAAAAGGATGGATGGATGGATGTTTGTTCATTTGTTCAAGCATAACTCTGGAATGCCTAGAGCAATTTCGACCAAACTTGGTACACAGATGACTTACCCTCTGGAGATAAACACTGTGGGAGTAAGACACCCCTGGTGTGTGTGTATGTGTCTGTGTGTCTGTGTGTTCCAGCATAACTCTGGAAAGCCTGGGCCTTTAAGGAGAGCAAGTGCGGCGTCCTAGAGCGACATTTGTTTGTGATGTCATGGGAGGGGGAAGGGAGCCTGATTAGGCCAGTATAAAGGCCTTTGATTGAGCGTGCTCCCTCACACAGTGGGCCTTTAAGGCCCAGGCCTCCTTCACACAGTAGGCCTATGAAGGGAGCCTGATTAGGCCAGTACAGAGGCCTTTGATTGACTGTGCTCCCCTCACAGTAAGCCTATGAAGTGAAGGGAGCCTGATTAAGACTTTGATTGAGCACACCATGGCCTAACCAGATCATCTGCCCCCACATCACAGCTCTGGCCCAGTTTTCCCGGATTGTCCTTCACCCCAACTCATCGCACGAAGGACAGGACCACACCAACCGAAGTGAAACAGATATGGAGGCCACAGAAGAGACCCAGCTTATTTCAGCAGGGGTGAAGGAGGCACAGCATGGCCCAGCTCAGGGATTTATGTTCCAGTTCCAGGCCCAGTTTGAGGAAATGGTAAAATGGATGGTGGTACAGGTAGGGGGGTGGGAGGGGTAATGAGAGGGCAGGGATGATGGGCATGGAAGTAGGGGGAAGAAAGGCCCCTCTCAATGCTCCCTTTCAGACAAGCACCAGGTTATCAGCTAGTGCCTTTATAAATTAAAAGAGAAACTCAGACTTTTTAGGAACTCACTATGTTTTAATTAGAGAACGATACATCAATAACAGTTTAAATGGAATAATTATATTTTTGTAATAAAATATGAAACTCTTTTTGTATGTACATATGGATATGCCTACTATTCTATTTCAAAGTACAGAAAGTTCATCATCATCATCAGGGTCTTTGGTGCTCTCTTTGAGCTTGATTATTTTCTTGGAGACATTTCATTACCAAAATAAGTAACATCATCAGTGCCAGTAGGGAATGGGGTTTACTCTCATTTTATATACAAGTAGCTAACCCTGTCAGTGTTGTTGACAGTGCTCTTGGTTGTTGATTGGATTGTTATTTACTGTTAGCTGAGTTGAATCTGAGTTGATAGTTCCTTGATTGGGAGATTGTTTGCTTCTTGATTGTCAGTCTAATATTAATCTTGATGTTAATCTCTGCCCATCTGGGTGTTGACTGGTGGTGAAGAGATGTTTTTGTTTCCTTTTTGGCTTTTGGATTGTCTCTTCTGATTAATATCTAGATGTTTATATCTATATGCCTGTTGATGGCCAATTTTGAGTGCCAGGCTTCCAGAAATTCATTTACATTTGTGGGCTTGCTTGGTACCATTTCGAAGGGGTTAAGTCAGTCCATATGTTGTGAAATTAAGGAGTTTACATCATGTCTTTTGACTGCTAGTTGGTGTAAATGGATGCACTCTGATAGTATTCTTCCTGTTTGTCTAACATACAGCTGTTGTTTTTTTCTTCTGGGGCTACTGGGACTTCTGATTTACTTAGGATGTTTTGAAGGGCTATAGTTGGAATATTTTAAGGACAATGAAGAAGATGCACTGAAACTAGTTTACCATGAAGGCTTACTGAATATTGAAGAAACCAAACTGACCAATAGAAAAGACCAAAAGAAAAGTAGAAAGGAGACATCAAGACAAAATATTACATGGACAATACATGGGGAAAAATTGCAGGCCAAAGTTCAATTTTATGAACTCCATTTAAACTCTCCAGAGAAGTTTGATATAATTTCTAAATCCAATTATACTTTAAAAATACCTATCATTGCAGTTCTGAAAGATGAGATTTTTATCACAATGATGTATCTGTTGAATCAGTCTTGAAAAGTTTTTTGTAAATGGAATCTTACTGGTCACTTTGGAGGTGTTTACAATATTATGAGGTGGTAACTTTTTTATATTTATTCTAGACAAGTTGCAAGAAAGTGGTTGGAAATTTGCAGCATGATATTTGAGTCCAATGCTGTATATGTGATGGAAGAAATTCTAATTTGTCCATCACCACAAGCAATAAAGTGCTCTGAACTAATCTTGAACTTTAACTTAATCTTGTTTTATGAATATGCCCCTCTTGCCATCTTTCTTTCTCAATAATTCAGGGGCTGAGCTGGAAGAGAACAGCATCTTTTTCTGTACAAATTATTTATCATTCAATAGAGAAATTTGGAAATTCCAATTTTTTCAACAGATTAAATAGATTTCTTGGCTAATGAAATGCCAAAGTACCGTATTTTTCAGAGTATAAGATGCTCCAGACTATAAGACACAACTACCTTTTTGGAGGACGAAAACAAGGAAAAAAAATTGCCTTTGCCTCCCAGCATCCATCTGGTATTCATCACTGCAGCCCATTTGGCACTGCCATGGCCCATTTGCCATGACCCATTCGCTGCCGTGGCCCTTTCAGCACAGCCCATTCACCACCGCCACAGCCTGTTTGGTACAATCAGTTTGCTGCCGCCCATTTGCCATGGCTCATTCGCCGCCAGCGCAGCCCGTTCAGCGTGGCCCATTCACCACCACTCATTTGCTGGGACCTGTTCCCCGCCACCATGGCCTATTCAGCATGCCCATTCACCCCTGCCTGTTCGCCACTGCTGCGGCCCATTCGGCGCAGTGTTGTGGTCTGCCAGCAGCCTGCGGACTGGCAGTGGAGTCGGACAGTGAGGAGGCTGGGGAGCACAATGGGCCAGTCCTGGAGTCAGGGGAAGACCCAGATGAGGGTTCTGCATCAGAGGCAGAGATGGGGTCATCTGGGAGTGATGCACGTATACAGAGCCTCCAGAGGCAGACAGCAGAGAGGCAGAGGAACAGGAGGAGCCTGTTCCTAGTGCAAACATGTGAAGAGCTGCCAGAAGGCAAGAGCAGCTGAAGAAAAAAGGACAACTCGGGAGTAAGGCCAGAAGATGATTGGCCACTCCCATAAGGCTTAAAGGAGCAGCAACAAGCCATTGGGTTCTTTGTAGAAAAGCAACTTTGATTCCCGTGCTTCTTGTCAGCATCTCTTGAACTTTGTGGAGGTTTTGCCAAGAAAAGCCTTTGGCAGGTTGCCAAAGACATCAAAGATTGGTGATAAGGCTGACAGACTGGTTATTAAGATTTTTTTTTTTTTTTTGGACTAAGCTGAGAATGAATTAATTCTCAGCTGTTTTAATAAAATAAGTTTGTTGAGGACTGAATTGTGTTTGGTAATCACTACTTGGGCCTTGGTCACAACACACGGCCCATTTGCCACTGCCAATCCCCGCCACCTGGAACTGGCCAAAAATGCATCGCACAGAGGCCGAAAACAGCTGAAGGGTGGGGGTCAGCGGATGGGCGGGGCTTTGGCAACATTCAGTGTATAAGGTGCACCGCAATTTTCACCTACTTTTAGGGGGGGAGGGGAGTATGTCTTATACTCCGAAAAGTACAGTAATTGCATTTCAATTACAATTCATTTCAAAGTAACTGCATTATGGTCAGATATGTAATAAATATCAATAGAATATATATTTGTTCAAATGTGCACCAGAAGTTTTAGACTTGATTTCTTAATTTCATCAATTTTATATCACCAACTTCAAAATATAATATTGATATCTGTTAGATATATGGTCACGATGCAAATACCTTGAAATGTGTTTTTTGGAGGCAACCAGCCTCTTAATCACAGACTAATTTGGCCTGTTAACAGCTCCAGGGCAATAAAGGAATGATAATACCTAACCTAGAAAAACCTGTGCTTATTAGCAATCCACTGACTATTCTGAAATTTATTATAGGGGGAAAGAATAGAAAAATAATAATAATAATAATAATAATAATAATAATAATAATAATAATAATAATAATAATAATAATAATTTTATTTCTATACCGCCCTTCTCCCGAAGGACTCAGGGCGGTGTACAGCCTATTTAAAAACACAAGACACAACAATGATTAAAGGTTAAAATAATTAAATAGATTTGGCTGGTTTAAAACCCCAAAAATTTAAAATACCCCAATTTAAAATTATTATGTTGATAGCCCGGCCTGGCAGAACAACAGGGTCTTCAGTGTGCAGCAAAACACCCGGAGGTCGGAGATCTTATGTATTTCCGAGATCTTACGCAGTTCATTCCAGAAATATAATTATGTTGGCTAGGGATAAAGATCTAGATTTATAAAATTCCATGCCTGGTATTTTGTTTGTTTGTTTTTTGTTTTTGATTTGGGTTTTTGAAAGCTGAGAATTACTAGACTCAGAAAACACTAATACTTTGGAATTCAGGGCTTTGCAGGGTACATGATTAGAGATGCTTAAAGATTCGTAGTTCTCCAGTAGTTCATTTCAAATTTGAAAATGATTTTTAACAACACAATGGGATGAGAACAATCTAACTAAAGATGCAACAAAAAGAGAGGGGGGTGGAGACATGCAAGACATGCATGTGTTGCACTACAATCAGCAGAGCAATTTAGACAAATCCTGTGTTGTAACTTTATGTTTGATTTGTTAGTGCCATAAGTAAATTAGGAAATTATTGGTCTCATTGAATTCCCTGTCCATGTTTTAAAAGAAGAGTGCAAGGATATGTAATCTGCAGTCTCCAACTCCCAGATTCCTTTTTGTCTTTTTATAAAACAACATCTAACTAAGACTTAAATGTGTAAGTTGCTTCCCCTACTGGCACTTCTAAAACTAAAAGTTGGACTAAAGTATTATCCTATTCATGTAGGTAAAACACAATATCATCAATCGCAAACCTTAAAGCCTACAGAGAAAAAAATAATCCCTATCTGCCACTCATTTCCTATGTTCATGTCCATGTTTATACTTATACCTGTTATCTTGTACATGTTTGACAAATAAATAAATAAATAAAGTTTCGCTCAGTTGCATCAACTATTCAGATAACATAACAGCAGAGTTTTATATACAATGGGTTTATCATATGGAATTTTACTTGGCACTATGATAAAATTTTTTCGTTTGAAACTTAAGTGAAATGCAACTGGACAATTATTAAAGCCCAGTATTCTAAACAGGCTTATGGTTCATTGTTACAACCTACTTGCTGTGGCATTAAGATACTCCATTAACTATTTGTCAATGGACATATTCCTATAATGCAGTCTCCATCTTGTCACTAGTCATATACTGAAGCTAGAGGTGGGTTTCAGCCAGTTCTGACCGGTTCTTGCAAACAGGTAGTAGAAATTTTGAGTAGTTTGGAGAACCGGTAAATACCATCTCTGCCTGGCCCCGTCCCCAATCTATTTGCTGCCTCACAGTCTCCCAGCTGATCAGCTAGAAGGAAAAATCAGGGCTCGCTTTTCAGCCAGGAGATCGCTTGGCAAAGAAAAAGAAGAAAAGAAAAAACCCAAGATGCTGTCGCTTTAAATTGGCAAGCCAAGAAGCAGCTGCTGGAAGGAGGTTTTTACTTGCAGAAGTGAAGTGACATTCAGCAGTGGGTCAGCTGAACAACAAACTGGATAAGAGGACGGATTCTTATACGGTTCTATGTTTTTGAAGTTTTGGGGTTTGTGCAATATGGGCTTTGTGTCCATATTGGGCCATTT